TTTACTGAAATAGTGATAAAAATTAGCGCTTACCGAGATGTCCGTTGCAGCTTTTGTTCTCTGAGCCTGGCCATCTTTGAGCAAGTGAGATTCATCCTTAAAATTGTATGCATCGGTTAGCTTCCAGAGCAAGTGTAATTTTTGATAAAAACGTTATCAAATATTTAAATGGGCTTCCAGTTAAGCCCAGTGCGGAAAAGGCAAAGTGAAGAAACATAAACCTACAAAAATCACTGCCCTGAAGTCATACTCGATAATACTGGCTCGCTTGGAAACCATCAAATCGTAACTCATGATAACCACAGTTCGATTGGTTTTCTTCTCCGGCAAGAGATCGTTGCCTTTTTCAATTAAAATTACATCACTGACTCCCGGCAAAAAAGTGTCCAGCTGCTGCAAAATATTGCTATGGTCATAGATATCTAGAAAATTTCGAACTGGAAGATAAAAATTTTTGTCTCACAAAATAACAACGGTAAATAAGGAGATTTTGCGGTGCATGCAGTGCAAGTACTGAAGGTACACGACACCCTCCTTTTCATTCTATTCTGACACAGAAGCCAAAATCATTCACGTCACAACAAAAAATGCAAAAAATTAGGTGAAACAACCGACCATTATGGCGCAAAAATCAGCTCCAAAAAAGTAAAAGCTGACCGTAGGAATCGAAAACCTCATAATGGAGAGAGAAAATTTAACCATAAGAGGAAAAAAGATTTAGTCGAGAAGTTTCATCTGCGTTAAATTAATCATAAAAAATGCCACACATAAGAAAAAGGGGCATAAGCAAGCAGTATTGCTTTGAACATAAAACGCTGTTACGGAGAGACAGTGGAAGAATTAAAGTATGTGCTCAATATGTCAGTGAAAGAATTAAAGATGTACATTCATCCAGGAGAATTTTACAGACGAAGGACATATGATGAGCAAGGGCCAATCGCATTTGAAGTATCGTGCAATGCCAAGCGCCTGAATTGATTTACCGAGGCCCATCTCGTCAGCCAGGAGCAATCGCCCTCGTCTCATTATGCCAAATCTGTAATCCAATTTGAAAGAAAGACTCGCCATAAATGTTAACGTGAAATAATGATGTGAAGAAATAAGAAGGGAATTAAAAGCTAGGCAATGTAACTTGCATTATTCCAAGACGTTGATAATGAAAAAGCGCATCGACTAGCGAACTTTCGATGTGGTCATCGAGGACGGGCTCCTTTCGGCTATTCATTTCCTTACTGTACTTTTGCAGTGTCTGGAAATACGGAAAAATTTGATTACACTGTTCTTTGCTTCACTTTAACAACACAGTTGGCAATCTGTATGAATGCTGTGACCAAAGCTGTGACACCTGATGATCAACGTGTTGGTCGTACTATTCCTTGCTTTGTGTTTTTTTCCTTTCCAAACAAAAAACTACGTATACCATCCCCCTTCCTTTGCAGATGATTGGATCCGTCACTGTGCATAGGAGGTGTCGAGAGACGGCTCAATAACGGGTTCCTGTCACAGAGGTTGCTACTGTCCTTATGCTCAGTGACAGATTTCAAACACAGAACGTGTCAGTAATTTTAGAGAAATTTTCAATAACACCGTTACATTTCAGCAACATTTACAACTACACTGACGAGGTCCAGTTGAAGCACTGAACAGGAATTTATGCGAATTGATGGACCGAAACATTCCTATTCAGATTTTTTTTCAGATTTAACTCATTCACATTCCCTTTTATTCCCTTACTTTCAAACCCTTACTTTTTACATAAACACGCATCATCTAAAATTAAAATTACAACAAAGCGAATTTGATCGTCCGAGATGAAAGGTGGGAGAGAAACGGAAAGATCGGCAACACTACCTTAACTGCATGATCGGGAATCTTCTCGAGAACCAGTTCAACATCGTCCACGGCTTGCAGAGCTCGCTCGACAACGTTCAAATCCTCAATTGAAAAAGACCACATCTTTCGTTCAGCATCATAAATTCTCGATGGTACTGTCTTCAGTGCTTCAACAACCGATCGAGAAAATGGGCTGAACAGAACCTGCAACAAAATGAACAGTAAAAAACAAACTTACCCCGGCGCAATGCTCATTCTCCTTCCCGGCCTAGTTAGAAATTTAGTCAATAACTGCTCGGAAGTTGAAAACCAAAAAAAAACTCACTTCAAAAGTTTTTACATCGGCAAGCCTGAACATAGCAGTGCATTTTCTCAGTTGGACAGTGGCCACTACAGGAGGCCGCTTGGACGGTGATAGTATCAAATGGCTATTGTATGAAGTCGGAGGTGGCGCGAGAGTGGTGGATGATGTGCAAGGCTGCTGCTGTTTCTCGTCTCGATAACTGATGATGACCTTGGACGATGATTGCGGACCAGGCCGAGTTGGCTCACATTCACTGCAT